AGAAAACTTGGGGTTACGTATGAACGACTCAAAAGTTTCTGAAAGTCATCAAAACTAAAGGAGTCGCTAGCTTGAGATTGTGAAGCAGCCATTGAAGAAGGAACGAAGCTTTTCAGAGTTACGTAACAAGGAAGCAAAAGATGAACAGTGAATCGTGAAAGATGCGCAAGAAATATGAAACGTGATTTGGTAGTAGTAAAACGGCGTGTTTGGAGTTTATAAGGGTTTGCAAAGCGACGCACCTTTTCAAGTTATAGAAGGAAACAATGATTGAAATTCTTTGGAAATCGCGAACGTTGCTGGAGACGTGAAGTGAATATGGCAAAATTCAATAATTATTATTAATTCTGCCATATTGGGGGGTAATTGTTGACACATAAAAATTCAGCCCAAATCGAACAGCCCAGAGAGTAAAGCCCAATTGGAGGATCCCCAAATCAGATAGCCCAAAGAACGAAATCCAATTGAACGAATCAAGGTGAAGGCCCAAATAAGGGGCCCAATAGTGCGATAACGCCATCGCCCAAGTTTGCAAGTCGCTCAGAGTCTGAACGAATAGAGTGGCATACGGTCGCCCGAAGTCTCGCCCAGAAATAACTTAGAAGCAAAGGACCGAATCCAAAACTCTCGAACAGAGAATATGTAATTTTCATTCCTTTAGCTTTTAGACTTAAACACTTCCTTTTCTGTAACTCGTGTGCTTGCGCCCCTTGGAGGCACGTTGTTTTCCGTTTCCAATTGTAAAGTTCATCGCCAATAAAAGGAACACCCCTTTTTGGGACTTTGTCTCAATAGGTTTCGCCCCTTACATCGTCTGATCCTCTTTAATTGTTAGCGAATTAACACGCGCGAAACAAATACGTATGAAAAATTAGTTTTGAATCAATTAAACTAATACATACAATGTGTTTGATGAAATGGGAATGTGAAAAAGTGACATTCTGTTACTTTTTAAATAGAAGTCACAATATACCATTTGAACATTTAACAAGATGCATAAGTGTGCATTCGAAAAAATTTGAACATACAAATTCAAGACTTGTTTTATGCTAATACATAAAAAATAGTTTTGAATCAATTAAATTGATGCATACAATGTGCTTGTTTAAGGAGAATGTGAAAAAGTGATAGAACGTCACTTTTCTAAACAAAAAAAAAAAAGTCACATTATGTCATTGGAGCAATTAACTAGATGCATGTGTGTGTGTTTTGTTTTTTTTTTTTTTTAAATTTGAACATACAAATTCAAGTCTTGTTTTATACATATAAAAAGGAAAAACTTTGAATCAATTAATTTGATGCATGCAAGGCATTTATTCAAGGAGAATGTGGCAAAGTGTCACTTTTTTCTTTTAAATTTCTGACACTTTTTGAATTTTTGTCACTTTTTTAAGTAGTTGTTACTTTTTTTGAATTTGTCACTTTTTTCAGTTGTCTTGAAATTTTTATTACATTTTTTTAGTAACAAACATCACTTTTTAATAAAAATGAGATTACATGTCATTTTTTAATAAAAATGTGACATTATACTTTTAAAAGTGACATTGTGTCACTTTTTCTTTTTCTTTTTTTAAGAAAAGAGACAATTTTTATATTAAATAAAAAAAAAAGTGACATTGTGTCATTTTTTAATTTTAGGCAGTATTTTATACTTTCAAAAAACTTTTCATATGATTTTTCAAAAAACATCTAATTTTAAAGGTATTTTTGTAAGTTGCCCTTTAAAAAAATTCAATGACCGCTTATGAAGTTTCGATGTGTATATATTTGATAATTTTTATTATTAAAGATTATATGCATCTTCTAGCATCTTTCCCTTATTATGAATTTTCATTGTCGTAATTATAATTGTCCAATAAATAGAAATATATGATATATGCGCTCTCTCTCTCTCTCCCCAAATTCTAATAAGACGCCATCAATTCCCCATCAACTATAGGTCCGATCAACAGTCCACCCCAAGCCTTAGCTTGAAAAATCTCGTGAGATTGATAAGCATGAATCATATCTTAGTCCTAAAAAAAACGAACAAAAGCATTGTAGAGTTGATTGCCCTTTTAAAATGCTTAGTCTCTGTTTTTGGTTTGGTTAAAAGTAGATTTTGATAAAAATAAATGAATGTATGATTGAAAAGTTGATAAAAATTACTAGTTCTATAAAATTTGTGGTTGAATATAATTTTGAGGGAAAATAAATTTAAAAAAATTGGAGTCAAACAGGGATTTTACCAAATTAAAAAAAAACAAAACAAAACAAAAAGACAACATCCTACATTAGTGGAAGTGAAAGTTGAACAAAAAACCTACGCAACACACATCTTCTGGAAACCATGCTTGGATTTATTCACAAATATATGCAGACAGGATAATAAATCCCCTGTTTCTTCAATAATTGCTTGCTTGTATTCGATTCGATTCGATTCGCGTCAAGATACAGACATGACAATAGCCTATCATTATAAAATCTGAATATGAATCTCAATTATTGTTAACCACATAATTGAAAGAAAACACCAGACACATTATAGGGAAGTAATTTTCATTTCTTAACATGATTGATGATATTGATACATCAGAATTAAGCACTTTTTGAGTTAAACTTCATTAGTTTCTTGTTTATACACAGTGAAACTTTGAATTTACTAGTTATTCATAATCTTCATCAATTCCACAACAAACCGATTCAGACAGACTCGGAATACAGCTCTCCGATCGAGTAAGCCCCATGCTAATATCTCCCCTGTTCTTCGTGGGACTACTTGGCATCGACCTTATGAACTTGGGACTGTCTAAGCTTTTTCTTAAAACCTGTCTCATAGCGGTGATCAAATGCCGGGTTGGGTCCGGCGGTGGCCCAGCCAACCTAAATTTGTTGCAGAAGCTGAAATGGCGAGCCATGGCCTCTTCTGGGCTTATCGATTTTTGCTTAACTTCATCGTTTACGGCCTCGGAACAGAGCCCACAAATCCATTTTCCCTTATAACGCTCGCGTACTGTCTCTATGTAGGACAGGGTGCATTCCTCTGTCAATCCACAGCAATCGCATTCGACAAAATCAAGCTCATTTTGTCCTGTAATTTTCACCATTGAATCACCGAATACACTCGTCGACATGCCTGAAATACCACAAATTCACACAAACGTGATGAATCTAAACATGGGTTTTTCATGAAATAAAAAACAAAATTCTGTCAAAAAATTACCTGATCAAGAGGGATATCTACAAGTAAATTCTGTTTAATTTGGGTTTTCTTATCTTTCCTTCTCCCAGTCGCCCACCTTGGCTTCCTCAGGAACGAAGAACGTGTGCATGAAAGACATTTCAGAAAACTGGATACGATGATTTGGTATAGAGAGATTTTTGAATATGAATGTGAATCAATCAAATCAAATCAAATCAAATAAATTTTAAAAAGAGAGATGGATTAATGGAGGTAGAGTACACGTAAACAGACGCTGGTATGAAGTAATTTGTATATTACTGTGATTCGTCGACTCCGTGTTATCTGCGTATATAAAGAAGAAGGATTATGTTGCTTTCTTTATACCGTATCAATCAATGGTTTGTTGCCACGTGTTCCACTCAGACGTGTTATTTTCATTTTCCAGCTAGATTTCAGGACTATCCAAATGTGAAACTAAAAACTTTTATTCATTTTTTACACTAAAATAGTAATAAAAAAAAGAAAGAAAATCATTCTTTTTTATCATGCAAAGAAGAAATCGTTTGATGCAATGTTAGGTTTCTTTCACATTCTCATTAATTTATATCTACCTTATTTAATTTTGCCCCAAACTATGGTAGACTTTGCATGCCTATTCTAAGAAATAAATGCATGGACAAATCAAAGGCCATTTTTGCTCCGACTTTTGCCTCTTCTACTTCATATCCATTTTAAATTTTTCTTGGATTTTGATAAATTAGAATGAATCTTATTGTTGGTCTTTTGCGAATAAGATCAAAATAGAATCAAGAAACAAATTTGGAGGTGTACGAACTTCTAGTCGACTTCTTATGCGTCTCTTGTAACACATTCTTTCACGTTTACCTTCCTCGTCCTTGTGTATAAACTTGAATATATTCGTGCGTACAAACTAGCGATTGTAGGATCATTACGTGCAAATTATGGGTGGCCAAGAAAAAGAGAATGTCTTTTCAAAGCAAATTAAGAATTAAATGAAATGATTTAGAGATTCAAAGTGGTGCAGCAAAGAGTCAAGTGGGCATTAAAATTGTTAAATAAGTTAGGCAACATTTTCTCATTCATATGGTGATTGGTGTATTTATAATAGACGATGGACCAAAGAAAATAATGCTTTTAATGATGTAATATAGAATTCATGATTGCGAAAGGGACTCTCACTATCAATGGAAATGAAAACTCTTTAAGCCTATGCACATGTCAAAATCATTTTCAGAACAAAGAATTGTTGTTAAAGACGTCACCTTTAAGGTATGTGTAGTCCTCTTGATGCTAACACTAAGATGCGACCAAAATTCACTACCAACAGTTTACAGCACTTCCTGTTCAATTTCTCAGCTACAATTGTGTGTATCAGAAGTCACTTCATTCTCAAGTTCTTTAATCAGCTTTTCAATTCGTCTTCTATAAGCCGGCATAAAATGGTCGTTTATCATGGTATGCGATAGCCTTAATTTACTATACAATGACCTGGGAGTGAGAAAAATTCCAACCTTCGCCTCTTCCTCCGGCTGGCTTTGGTCCCCGTCATTGGAAATACTGCTATCACTCTCACGGCCCACTTCGTCGGATGTTAGTGTCACAATATGCATTATCTTTCCCGGAGGGAAAAATCTATGCACCTCCTTCGCATCTGGGATTGAGCTTTGGGTCTGGCTGTCACTTACTTCTGCAATGGCTGCTTCTTCTTCTTCCCTAATTTCCTTGGCCACATCGGCTTCACCACTATCAGCTTGCTCATTAAGCTTGAGCTTGAGTTGTTCCCACAACTCTATTTCCATTGTGTGATCTTCATGCCTTACATCATACGCAACCTCGTCGTCATCATCCTTAGTAGCCATACTATCTGAGACACCAACCTCATCTATAAAGTTGTCTGAACTCTCAACGATTCCATCAGAAGAAGATACAGGAAGTTCCATATTTTCAATAGCCGTTCTTGTCTCTTCAGTGGTCGTGAGAAAAGGCTCCGAAGTTTCTCTTTGAGTTGAAGAAGATCCTGATGAGTCTTCTCCTTCATTATAATTTATCTGAGCAATTGAGGATCGAAGACGTGGACCTATGCATGACCATGAGCGTAGGTAAGGGCGTGACCAAGCTGCCTGAGCCATGCTTTGTGCTCTCTTCATAACAACCTAGTTAACACAACAACATCAGTCCTATATAATAGAACTAAATACATCTGGAATTATAAAGATCAAAAAGTATACATAGGCACATATGGTTAAAGGTAATACCACCCCTCACATTATGAAGCTCCCAGTATTTTGTTAGTGGTACTGATAGGGAAGGCAAAATGAACAGCCTCTAGGGTCATATTCTCAAACCCATATCACAGTGTCAATCAGAGATGTACTTCTAGTGCATAAAGCAAAACCCTCAAGGGTGTGTTTGGCAAACCGGATTAGACCGTACAAGAAATTTAGTATAAAATTAAAATGAATGTTACTAGAGTATTCCTTCATTTTTCATTTAACAGAGACAAGGAGAAAGAAAGAAAAAATTCACAAGTACAATTTTTACCTAAAATTTATGGAGACATGCTTAAACTAGCCTTTTTTTTTTTCTGTGTTGCTATAACCATATTGAACAATCTCTCTCGCAGTTTTATTTCTTTGGGTGGTTGAATACAGACTAGACTTGGGGGTTCTGAGGGTTCAGTTTTGAAGGTTGTTGGTTGCAGCTGGTTTATGTCTCTACAAGTATGGTTGGCTGGTCACTGGTGGCAAATGGAGATTAGAGGAGGGTGGTATGGTGGTGGGGTGACCCACTGGAGAAGAGAACCCAAATTGTTCTCTTTGTTTTTTTCCCATTTTTCCTTTGCCTTCTCTCTTATTCCTAATTGTTTCTTTGGTTATTTATTTCATTTTTTCGTCTACATAAAATAAGGGTGAAATCGTCTTTTTTAATAAAATTTTGACTTGTCGACTAAAAATATGGGTAAAGTTGTCAACCTGAGGATCATGTGCTACTAAAACTAAAATGAAACCTTGGGACAAAAATGCTTCATATTAGAGGTTACAGACCAAAGTGCAACACATCAAAGGTTGGGGCACCTCAGCTGCTATTTTCCCTTGCCACAACAATCCAAAGCAGAACTGATTGCATGACCGCAATATACATACCTGAGTACCGCTGGAAACTGGACGTAATATTGCACCAGCACCAGCAACTTTGGCTTTAGCACTGGCCATGGATGGAAGTCGAGAACCCAAAGCTGAAGCAGAGCGATAAACTGTGCTCAGAACCCTGGTGCGTTCAATCTGATTCCTCAGGTCATTCAACCAAGCAGAAGCCGTAACCTGCAAAAAGTTGAGAAAAATCATTAACTACAAAAATATACCAAATAAAATTATATGTAATAATATAGGAAATAATCAACATAAGGACATCAAGTTTTGATGGTCATATTTATGCATATCTCGAGAATGTGATATTATGTGACACCTTGAAATATATTTGCTGGCAGATTGCAATGTCACTCACGGAAAATCATTCAACATTGGATATAAAGCATGAAGTAGAACCCAATTACTTAAAAACCAAAAATTCAATCCCAATCGCAAAGGTGGGATCGTGCCAAATATCTAGCGAAACTAAAACAAGGGAAACACATTTCTGATTGAAGACAGTGAAATACTCACAGTCACCACATATTTTGGCTTCTAAAAGATACATGCCCAACCCAAATCTAGCATGTCACACTTCTTTAACATGTTGTGCTGAGTACTAAAAATATACGAATATGATTGGACAGGGCTTGCACCTATTATGGCCCCTGTAGACATATGAAGTCCTCTTAGGGCAATACTTCCCAGCCTGCTCCTTCTGGAGGAAGAAAACCTTTGCAAGCATCAACTTGTAGCAAATGCTACCAGAGTTGGCCGATCCAACGCTAGGATCAAGACCCAGCCACCTTTCCATCCAAGTTATATTCATATCCATACAGGTCACCAAAAAGTCAAAACCGTCCAATACCAGTCGGCCAAAGAATTAATACTAGTTTTTACTTTTTCCTCTTACTTCTGGAACCCCCTGCCTTTTAAGAGGGCATAATTTTTTATAATTGTTTAAGTCTGCCAACCATCCATGCATTACCTCCCTCTCTCTGAAGGTTTTTCCATTTTTTTAATTTCCCTAAATTTTCTCGATAAGCCTTCTCCTTCACTTAAAAGCACCTAGCACAATCTTGGAAACGCATAAAGGAGGAAAAGAGGCAGAGTTTACTCACGATGCCCTTTTGTATGTGAGAACTGACAAATTAAAACCCACTTGGTTTCACATCAAAAGAGGAGAGCAAAATGGGTTTTTGCTATAGTCTTGAAGTAAATGCAAGGCATATGTTAAAATGGAGCTCCAATTTCCATGAGCTACGCTCCTTGATGGTTTCATATAGCATGAATTGAGAGATGAGTGACGGTGTACAAATAGAGGAGAAGAATAGTTACAAATTATTAATAGTATCTAATGCCATATATAAATAATGACAACAGATTTATGTTTGAGGTTTAGGGTCACCTCCCATTTCACGGTTTCAAATGAATTGCATTTTACGACAGGTGCTTCATGCACCACCATTGTTAACTATTACCCAAACGAAAATGAGCAACGTGTAATAATTATGCCACCTGGAAGGTATTCATGATATCTGTCTTACCCAAGAGTAGTAGGAACCCGCTGTGGAGCAAGCTGCTTTCTTCAGTGAGCGGTTCTATTAAACTATGCAACCACATAGACAAATATTCCTGTGCAGATGCTCCACAATTTACTAGGGTTAAATCAATGATAAAGAGACGTGATCAACATAATAACAGAGAAAAACAAGCCACATATTTTTCCAAACTTGGATTTCTACTAGAGATGCTCCTCCTGCCTTATCAAGTACAAATATTCAATTAATCAAAAACACTAGAATAACATAGAATTATCAAAAAATAAAAAAATCCCAATAATAAGGAGTACATAAGCAAAAAAAGAGAGTATCTTCATATTACATTACAACAAGCCAAGCAAAAAGAAAAAAA